AAAAGTAAATCAGAAGGGAATTTATAGTAAATAAGCAGGCAAATTTGCCTGCGAACCTCTACAGTTTAAGGGATAGTAAAATTTCAATATTAATTTTTGTATACTTTTGATATTTTCTTCATTAATAAAATTAGGTAATTATTTATTAAAAAGTTTAATATCAGCTAGTATTTCTGTGATAATTAAATAATAATTCTTTCATTTATTAATTAAAATTTAGATTTAATTTTAGCTAATTTAAACTTGATAACAATTTTATTAAGTTATTTCAAACAATTATAAAATATTATGATCTTTTTTGTTTTTAAAAATTTTTAATTAGCATATATCTCATAGTTGAAAATTGTTTAATAGCAGTGATTATAATAGTATCTCTAATAGCTTCTTATATACAATTTATAAAAGAGAGTAATAATAGAAGAAAAAGTAATTTGTAAAATTATATTATTAATAATACTTTAATATAGAGATTTCATTATGAAATAATCATATATAAAATATTGAATTTTCTTTTTTATATTTTTTCTTCTAGAATTTGCTTCTTATTTAGTAATAAAATTTACAAAAAATGCAATAACTACTTTGTAATTAGAATTGTAAAGTAAAGATTTAAAAGGTTTACAGTAGAAAAAATCTATAATGAAAATATTTTCATTTAATATTTTTGATATATTATTTCTAATATTATTGTAATAAGAAAAGAAATAAATCATAATACTTATCAATATTGATATTAAAGCCACTTATCAAAATTATGTAATAGTTTTATTTGAGTTATCATCTAATAGTAAAAGTATGTTTCTGAAGGAGATATTATTCATACACTATTTCAGGATTTTGTATACTAGTTAAATATAATATATAATTTAATACACTGCTCTATAATAAATTACCAGATTTTATAAATTTTATTTAGTAATATATAATAAAATAAAGATTTTCAGATTATATAAAAGTTTACAAATTTTTAATAAAAGTCATCTAATTTTTTTTTATTTAATTTAAAGTTTTTAAATATTAAAATAAAAAAAAAGCATGAAAAAATTTTCTCATATTAAAATTTAAGCAATAATTTTTTATATATTTTGCATTTTTATATATAAAATTATGTTATCTATTATTTTACAAATAAGTATTTTTTCAGTATTTATAAATTAAATATTTTTAAATTATATTTTTAAAATTATAATTGATTGGTTATTAAATAAAAAAATTTAGAATAAATTTATTAAAAATTCATAAATTTTTATGCAATCTGAAAATCTTTAATTTTACTATATATTACTAAATAAAATTTATAAAATCTGGTAATTTATTATAAAACAATGTATAATCTTTCAGAAATAAATCAATATAAATAAGCTTAACATTATCAATTAACATTTTAGTAATGTATTGGTCTCATTTTTTTTAAAATAAATATAGTGACTTCTGTGTATATTATTTGAGATTCAGGAATATTTCAAAAATAAGTAAAAGCTGTATTATTTTTAAATTTAAAAATAGATAATTTAGTATATTGTATCTCTGTAAAGTCAACAAAATCTATACCTTATTGATAAAGCTTTAATAGAGTTTTTATATTCTTTTATACTTCTTACATTATGTGTGATTATTTTTATAATATCTTCTATAATAATTTTTTTTGCAGTTATTATATTAATATAATAAATATCTGCATTAATTATATTGATATTAATTTTCTATTCTTATTAAAAATGTCTTTTTAATTATTAATAAATAATATGATATTATTATTAAATATTGAGATTTTGGTTATCAATAAAGATACTAATTCTTTAATTTGCCTAGTAAGATAATCTTAAAAGTAATAGGCAAAATCCTATTATTAACTAATGAAGTATTTATAAAATTTGATCTTAGAGTCTAATCTGATTAAATGATCTTTAATAAAAACTAGTTCATTAAATTTAGTCATTATAATTATAAGAGAATTATTTGTTAAATTATGCAATAGTATTATCATAAAAGGGTAATAAAATAAGAAAACATTTTTGAAAAAGTAAAATAATATTATACTTGATAATAATACTCTTTTTTCTTCTTCTAAAATCAATAATACATTATTTCAAGAAGAATGATAAGGTATATAATATCTATTAAAAAAAAACTATAACTATTTTTATTATATTTTTTTTGAAAAACTAGTTTATTTAATTATAGGAAAAAGGTTATAAAATAGGATAATATTCTTTTTTTTCATAAAGTTTAAAAATGTTATAAATAATTAAAGATTTACATACTTTTAAAAGTTCAGCTTTATTAGAAAAAATAATATAAGGATTAAATTATAAAAGTAATAAGTTCTTCTACCATAAGGTTTGAGAATATTAAAGGTTTGAGTTGCTAAAATCTTAGCTAAAAACTTTTAAAACCAAATTACATATTTTGTTTCTATTTTTTAAATCATATAATGTCACATTTTTTGAGTTAATTCTAATATAGTAAAAGAAAATATCAATTATTCAAAATCTATCTAAGATGATTTTTTTTTATTATACAAATATTTAAAAGTAACAAAAACATCTTTTAGATTGTTAACTAAATGTTTGTATCTATTTTCAATAGATACTATAAACTTAAAGCTTTGAACAGTTCAGATTAATTCAAAAATTTTCAGTTCAGATTAACTTCGGTTCAGTTTCAGATTGCAAAAATTTCAATCTGAAAATTTTCAGTTCAGTTCAAATTTTTTCAGATTATAAATCTAATCTAAACTGAAAAAAATCTGAACTGAACTGAAAATTTCAGATTAATTTGAAATTTTATATCATTTGAAATGATAAAATTATCGTTTCAAACAAACAATAAAAGAATTGTTTAATTGGAATAATTGAAGTTATCATTCCAAATGAATAATAAAAGAATCATTCATTTGAAATGATTGAAGTTATCATTTTAAATGAACGATAAGAAAATCATTCGATTAGAATGATGAAATTATCATTCCAAACAAATAATAAGAAAATTATTTATTTAGAATGATTGAAGTTATTATTCTAAATGAATGATAAAAGAATCATTCAATTAGAATGATTAAATTATCATTCTAAATGAACGATAAAAGAATCGTTCATTTGGAACGATTGAAGTTATTATTCTAAATAAACGATAAAAAAATCGTTTGATTGAAATGATGAAATTATTGTTTTAAATGAATAATAAAAAAATCATTCAATTAGAACAATGAAATTATTATTCTAAACAAATGATAAGAAAATTGTTCATTTAGAACGATTAAATTATTATTTTAAAAGAACAATAAAAGAATCATTCGTTTAGAACGATTGAAGTTATCATTCTAAATGAATAATAAAAAAATTATTTATTTGGAATGATTGAAGTTATCATTCTAAATGAATGATAAGAAATTGTTTGATTAGAATGATTAAATTATCGTTCTAAAATAACGATAAAAGGATCGTTTCAAACAATCTAAAATTTTAGATTAATTTGAAATTTTCAGTTCAGTTCAAATTTTTACCAGTTTACAGTTCAGTTCAGTTTCAGATTGGCATTTTTAGGATTTATAATCTGAACCAAACCAAACCAAAATTTTATCAGAAATTAAGGTTTGACTTGAATAATCTTACAGTTAAGTAAGTTAAAAAAAAGCTTAAAGATTATAAAAATATAATCTATAAGTATTTATTAAGGTTTAAATTATTTTTAATAATAAATAAACCAGTTTTTTTCATTTATTTTAATAAGATTTGCAAAGCTTACAATATATTTTAAATCTAATTGAATTGTTATTTATTTTGATATGGAATTTCATAATTTATGAAAAAAATTCAAATTTCTTTGAGAATCTTATAACAAGTCTTTACTTTAATTTATTGGCATTTTATTTTATTTTTAAGTAGCATTTCAGGTGGCATTCAAAAAATTGAATTGCGTATTTCAAATCATTTAACTCAACTCTTATTTTATGCAACTTATATTTTTTATTCTAAATATATGTATCTAGAAAATAATATTTAAAATATTTAATTATTAAAGAATTTAATAATCCTTTTGATGATTTGTAGTATTTATTGTAAATTGAAATTTGATAAAAATATAAAAGAAAATAAATTGGATGTTTATTGAAATAATTTATAACATATTTATCAATTCTTTCTCAAATAACATTGAATTATATTTTGCTATCTATATCAAGTTATGATATTAAATGTAATTTTTCTTTATATAATATTCTCCTAAATAATGATTATCAAAACTTATCAAAAGAATTACTTAAACAACTAAATATGATATATTTTAATTGAGATGATTAAATTATTTTACATAAAATCACAAAATTAATAAAAATTAGATCATCACAACACAAAATTGATTTACATCACACAAAATTTGCTTCTGATTTGTGCAAGGTTTCACAAAATCAAAAGTGATCATAAAAGAAAAAAAAGTCCAGACCTAAAAGAAAATTATTTACTTTCTTTCAATGGACGCGTTAGTTGAAAGTTTATTGAAAGCTAATCTCGATGATGAACAAGAACCGTCAAGATCAGCTCATGCTTCAGACGCTTCCGATGAAGAATCAAATGTGAGAAATATAAATGTTTCCCTCCTTTATCAGCAATTAACCTTAATATTAATATTATATTTGATTAATTAAGGTCTCCTCCACACGAAATAATACTGTAGAAACACCTCCACAACATGGTGGCCCACAAACAGGTCCTAAAGGAGTTTTGGCAGATCATAGATATCATAAACAACAAGTACAACAACAAAAGGCTGCGGCTATATTTGCACATAATGAGCGTATGATGTCAAAAGCTTTTATCACTACGACATACCAAGAAGACCAAGAAGAAAAAGCTCAAGAGAATCTATTAAAAGAATTAGAAAATATTAGCTCAGACGATGAAGAAATGTTAAAAAAATACCGTAATCAAAGATTAAAAGAGATAAAAGGCGTGACAAATATTAATAAATCATTAAAAAAAAGATTTGGTAGTTTAAAAGAAATATCTGCAAATCAATACGTCAAAGCCATCGACAATGAAGCATCTAATGTTTGCGTTATTGTACATTTATATGAAAACGTGAGTTTGTTCGTTGAGTCATCTTCTATATATCTCTCTATCTATCTAATTTAAAGATTTAAATAAATCTAGTCAATTCCACAATGTAGGTTATTAAATGAATGTTTGATCCACTTGGCTCGAAAATTTGTTGGAGCTAAATTTCTCAGAATTCTCGCACATGATTTAGAATTTGATCCAATTGGTTTACCTGCTTTATTAGTTTACAAAAATGGTGAATTAATTGCTAATTTGGTTAAAATAACTGAAGAAATCGGTGAGACAAATTTTGATGCAGATACTGTAGAAGAAGTGTTAATCAGGTATATCAATTTATTTTCGATATTTAAATTATAAATTTTTATTCTAATCAAAAAATTTTATTCTCATATGAAAGATATGGTGCAATTAACGTAAATGAAGATATTGACGATTTATTATTCAAAGATTATTCGATGTCTCGAATTTTTGGAACTGGTAAACATGATGATGATGATTATGATGATTAGATTTATTCCTCTTTTTCTTTATTATAATTTATTAATAACGTTAATTTATTTTTTATTATTATTATTTTTTTTTTTTAAAAAAAATATATTATATATATATAAATTGAGTATTCATTCCCCTTTTACTTCACCTTTTTTTTTTTCCTTTTTTTTTTTTTTTTTTTTGTCCGTATTATATTTATTATACTTAATATACCAACTTACAATGTAATAATCTATCATTGATCTTCATCAACATATTTTGCCATAGGATCTTCATGTCTAAAAAAATTAATGAAACCATTTAATGAAATATCCCAAAAAAATAAATAAATCAAATCAAATCATATTAAGGCTTACGATTGTTTTTTAAGCCTATATGCTTCCAAATCTTCTTCAGTAACTTCGGCCTCAGTAGATACATTTTTGCCCATGTATGCACTATTATAAGGACGTTTTCGATCATTCATTTCTACTTCTTCATCTTTTAATTTATAACGTTTTTCTTCATTATCTAGTGCCTTCTTTAATTTCTTTGAATCCAGTTTTATTTCTCCCTCTCCAAGATCTTTGCGTTTAAGATGTTTATTAACATCATTGTCTGTATTATTAGATTTAGTATTCTTGTTTCTCTCATTATACAACTCAACAAGAGTTTTCTTTGAAGTCGATAATTCTTTATTAGCAGTAGTTGATGCTGAATGATTGGTGCTAGAACTTGCCAACGGATTTGACGAATTTGCTACCTCGATTCCAATCGAACCGGTACAGTACGAATTTTTGATAAAAGAACGACAACATTTGTATCCCCATTGACCGTCAGCCCAAGATGATCCCCAAACTGATGTGTGGTTATTTATGTAAACTGTTTAAATAAAAATAATATATTAATAATTTTCTGATATAAATTTAAGAATTACTAAAATTACTCAACTTTTAACTTACCATCTTCCTCATATTTGGATTTGGCCTTGGCTCTCTCTTGACCTTTTATCACTCTACCAGTTCTTGAATATTCCACATATGTTTCTGTTTGAGCCAAAAGCAGCTCTTTGGGAGGAGCATCCAAATGTTCTTCGCCGCCATACTTGGCCAATATTGAATCTTTGCTTGTATCTTTAAGTTTCTCTTTCTTCTGGAGATACTCACGATGTAAAAGCTCACCTTGAGTAGGATTGGCCTGTAAATGCACATCCGTTCCCTTATCATATGCTTGCCAAGCAAAGAGTTGAAGATTGGCCATCTTGGGTGCATCTCCTGTATATCTAACAAAGTTATCCCCCGCATAATATGCTTCAGATTCTTCCACTTCTCTATTCGGATTATCACGCATAGAACGAGTTTTGGGATCATAATATGCGGAATCGATATCCAAATTTCTTAAATATTTAGCGGTATCCTCACGAATTCTTAAATTTCTGATAGTCGTTCTCGTCTTTGTATTAACTTTCTGACCTGGCATATCAGATCTTTCAGCATACTTATCTTCATCATCCTCTTCGTCTTCACTGGAGAATTCTCCAGCGGTACGTTCACCAGTCTTTTTTACTAATTCTATGGTACTTTGTTTATCAAGTTCGTTAGCTTTCATTTTGCGACGAGCTTCTTCAATCTTTTCATATTCTTCATAAATTTTAGAATGTTCGGACGGGTCATAACCATTCCATCGATCTCTTTTTGAGTCATAATCTAATTCAATATCCTGAATGATTTCATCAGGTTTTATATCTTTACCGGTCCATTTTGCACCAGTTTTCCTTGGTCGATCCATACAATCTCTTGTTTTATGTGTCTTTGCTCCACAATTCTCACAAGCCCCTTTACGAAATTTAGTTGCTGCAGGACCAGCACGAAGTCCACGAGCGTACCATTTATCATTTATTGTTTCCGCTTCTTCTTGTTGAACTCTCTGATGTTTTAAGGAAGGTCGACCTGTATCGAGATACCACGGTGCTTTTGCGATGTACTGTGGAATGTGAGGATTAATGTCTTTGCCTTCTTCATCTTGCTCTGCAGGAGCTGTCCCAGCTTTTCTTGCAGCTTCAAGATCTTTTTGACGACGATAATCTTCACGACTTAGTTTATTGCCTAAGTTTTTTGAATTTTTTTTTTGATTATTAAATCTTTCAAGTCAACATCGAACTTTAAAAATATAAAAACTCACTTGAAGTAAAAGAAATTGAAGACATTTTTTTTTTAATTAAAATACGGAAATACGGATCTATTTATTTATATATGATGAAAAAAAGTTCAAAGCTTGGATGTCGCTTGTCAACATATGACGCACCTCAGTGATGCGTATATGTTCTTTATGTCAACCTACGCACCTCATATTTGAGGCACGTCATATAACATCAAAATCTGCATTGACTGCGATGCAAACACACTTAATAATACATTTATGACTCATTCATCCAGTTAAAAAACTATATTGTGTCTTATTTATTAATATCCATACAAGAAACCCAATGTCAGATTTTCGTTATAGCCGTAATCAAACTTACCGTCCAGAATATAGTAGAGATAACCGTGAAGATAATAGACACCGTCGTCGTAGGTCCCGTAGTAGATCTCATAGTATAGATCGTCATAGAGCTAATGGTGTAATAAATAGACAAGAGAATTGGCGAGAAGACTTTCCTCAAAGGGGTAGACCAGAGGATATTGGTGCACGCTCATGGGGAAATAAGTTTTATTATGACGATCGTGAGGAAAACAGTAAAAGAAGGAAAACTAGACATGAAAGAGAGAGAATGCCAGAGGTTAGGAAGGGGAATTACTTTTTTCAATATTTGAAAATAGTGTTTTTTATTATGTATGAATTTTGTTAACTTAGGGACGTTGGAGAGAGCGTAATCTTGGCGAACCCAATAATCATGTTATTCTACAAGGATTGCCACTCGCAGCTACTGAGAATGACGTTCGTTTCCAACCTTTTGTGTTTTAAATATTTATTAAAATTTTAATATATATATTTAAACTAATTGTATAACAAATTTTGGTTTAAATTTCCTTTATTCATATTTTAGATTCAGCATACTCTTGATAACCTGCATGCTAGTATTGAGAATATACGTTTAATTAGGGATCGCCGCACAGGTTTATCTCTTACTACTTGCATTGAAGCATAAAAATCAAATCAAATAAATAAAAGCTTTCTGAAAATTGTTTTGTAAATAATGCAAATTTTTTGAATTTTGTTTACAGGGGATTCACGCAGATTTGCCTTCGTTAAATTTACAAGCGTTGAACATGCAAGACAATTCATTGAAGCCAATCATCCTTTTATCATGATGGAAGATATTCGTGTTCGCGTTGAATACAGCAACAGTGCATCTGCAGAGGATGAAGGTTGGGCTTGCAAGAATGTGTGTATAAGAATAACTTTTGGTAAAACTAATCTTTCAATCATAGACAAACGTTACTAAAACTAATATTTTTTTAGTGTGGATTCCTAAATTACAAAAAACGTGAAAGTTGTCACCAATGTCATCATTCGAAGAAAGGTGTGATTAGATTGTGGGAAAATACCACTGAGCCCTTTTGGGCATCAAGTCGTGCTACTTAATTCTAATAATATTTAAAACGACTTGCTCCAAAATCCAATATATATTATTATTTGTATGGTTTCTCACATTATCTTTAATTATATTTGGTGATGCAGAATCCATGGTGTCTGGCTCACTTCATTTGGCACCTACCAATTCGTTCTTTAATGATGGAGCAAATGATTTAGCTCAAGTTCCACATCATATCTTATTAGTCCGTGGATTAGACCCTTTGACTACCGAAGAGACTCTTTATGCCTCTGCGAGTCAGGTGGCAGCTTTAAGAAGAGTTTTGCTGATTAAAGATCGAGCCTCCAGGATGTCTTGGGGATTTGCATTTTTAGATTATCATGATGTTCAGGTTTGACACTTACTATTGGGAATTTAATCTTGTTTTTCTAACATATATACACACACATGTATAATTTAACGAATCGAGTCGTATTACTCAATTGATAGACTTCTTCATATGCCTTGTCAATTTTCAACAATCCTCACTATTATCCAGGTGGATTTGTGGTTGATTCACGAACTGTTAGTATGACATTTGCTCATCCTGGAAGTTTTACACCAGCTTATGCCACTACTGAGTGGACTATTTGGGGAGATGATGGGATTGCCATGTCATACTGGGATCAAAAAGCATATGCAGTTGAATATTGTGGGTCACAATGCTCAGTTCCAATTGAATCCAATATGCCTTCATCGTCTACAAATTCGACTTCTGTAAATGAGGCTGAAAATAAAAGCCGAAAAGAGAGTTCAGAGGCGACGAAAGAAGTGATTGCAGTTCCTGAAACAAAACGTGTGTTTCTCACCTACTCTTTAATGAACTTTAAATTTTCATTAATTTTTTTTTTCCATATAATTAAAAAAAAAAATTTAGTTAACGTTGAAGATGAATTGAATGCTTTCTATTCGGATATGGGCGCAGTTTTGACATCTACTGGAAAGGCTGAGACTAAATCTATATTTTCAGTTTCTGATATGGTTTCAACCTCAAATAATCAGAATAAATCAAATTTTTCTCCAAAGAAAAATCAGGATCCTGAACTTAACGCGTTTTATGCAGATCTTGAAACTGTTGAACAACAAATTAACCCTACTCAATCTAAAGGTAAGATTAATTTTAATGTTTATTTATTTTTTTTATCTCGTTATCTTTATCATATATTATGTTCTATTAGGAAAAACAGTTTCCGCAAAGTCAATTTCTGAAGTTGATTCTCAAGGCGTTGAAACCCAACAAATTTCTGATGATAAAATTATGAATAAACTACCATCTGCAGATAATGATTTTACTCATCAACGGCCTTCAGGAATTCATTCTCCGCGGGAGCCTATAAATCACGAACAGCAAGTACCTTCACAACAAATTAATCAATTTAATTCAAGTACCTCAAGAGATTCTTTATCACCAGAAACGTTAGTTTGTAACCGAGAATAATATAAGCATGAAGCAGAGCATCAAGAAAACTTGTATTTCCGTAGCTTTTGTTGTTAACGCAATTGTTCCACCTTGTTTCTTATCTCTTCACCACGTGTCTTTTACCATTCCTCCTATCGATCATACCGCGCTTGTCATATCTTATTATTTGTTGGTAATAATAATTGGTTCTCTCAGTGGACACGAACCGGAAACAGTTGAAGAAAACGAAGCCTTACGTGAAGTATCGATATCTACGTCTCATGATCTCTCGAAAGGAGGTTAGTTATTTATCGATAATCGTTTTGACATAACAAAATTTTTAAATCACAAACTAATACTTTTCCTTAATATAGTTAAAGAAAAGAAAAAGAAATCAAACAAGCCAATTGGAAAAAAGGTGAAAAGATAGATAGCTATACACATAAAGATATTTATGTTAACTAGCTCACATTATAAATTTTTATTTAAAAAGGTTCATGAACAATTGCAAAAATGGAACGAAAGGAAAGAAGAACTACATCAAATAAATGATACTAACCAAGTTTGTAATAAATAATAAATGCACAATAATATTTTCTATATTGATTCGTACTTAATTTGCTATTTTAATATATACAATCCACAGCCTGAATTAAGTGATGACGGTCTTTTCGACTATACGTTAAATGCATGCCTATTATGTCACCGACAATTTATAGATTTGGCAGAACTTCAAAAACATGAACAGTTATCGGATTTACATAAGGTACTTCAATAATTTTATATAATTATTAATGTCTTTATTTATAAAATTGCTTTATCATTTAAAAGTTGAATATGGAGAACGAACATCTAGTTCAAACTATTCGTATGAAGCGAGCATATGGATTACAAAATGATGGTGATTGTGAAAAACCTCAGGTATATATTCAAACTATATTTATGGCGGTGTTATTATATTCGGATTTTTATGATAAACCTTTTTTATTTGTTTTAAAGACAAGATATAACAATAGAGCGGCACAAAGAAGGAAAATTTATGGACAGCCCAGGAGACCTGCACCTCCTGCTGCGCCTGGATCATCCAATCCAGTTGAGGAAACATATGAGCAGCCCACAAAATTTGGAATTGGAGAAGATAATATTGGAAATCGTTTATTGCAGAACATGGGATGGAAGGCAGGAGAAGGTTTGGGTAAAAATAAAAATGGTATAGTTGTTCCTATCCAACCAGAGATTTATACAGCAGGAGTTGGACTTGGAGCTTCAAATAGTCATAGCATATTGGAAGATGGACAGAATACATATTATGGGATGGCAAAGAAATTTGTAAGTATTTCTATTTATAATTAACTTATAATTGCTTATATATTTTTTCAAATATTTATCAATAATATATATAATTATTATATTTTTATTAACTGATTGTATAGGCTAGAGCCCGGTTAGAAGAATCTTAAAGAACAATTTATAAAGTATTTTCTATGATTATCAAATATTTTTATTTTTTTATTTTGTTATATTATTTTAAATCATTTATCAAATATCTTATTCAATTATACAAATTGTTTTTCATGAATAATAAATTTTAATTATTGATATGTTTTTTAACTTGATTTTTTAATTTATTAATTTACTTAATAATATATAAAATAAAGGTTTATAGTTATTAATAAAAATATTGTTTTATAAAATATGATTTTTAGCATATCTACTGATTTTAAATTGGCTTAAGATTTTTTATAAAAAAATTTTTTTTTTAAATTTTAGTTAGAGTTTTATTGGTTTATTAAAAAAAAATTTATATATCAATATTATTATAAAAAAAAGTGATTAATATTATTATTAAGATTTTTTTACAATCTCAAATAATATATTATCTTACATCACATTCTCTACCTTTTATTTTTATTATACATTTTAGTAATAGAAAATTTTTTAGTATAAAAAATCCTATTTATCATTTATTTATTACATTTAATTTTGGTTAAGTTATATCTGAATAAAAAAATTTTATTATCTAAACAAATGCATCTTTTCACCAATAAAATCAATGCTAAATCTCTTGTATTTTATGCAAATTGATATTTTTAAAAGAAAATATTAAGCTTCAACCTTTATATAAAAGAAGTTAATACTCAATTATCAGCTATTTATTAAGAATTTTCTTAGCTATCAGAATACATCTGATCTGAAATTTATGAGTTTTCTTTAGATTTTCTTCTACTTGATACTGCTCTAAACATACTCAGCTTTAAAATTTGACTTTCTTAATCTCAAACTTATTAATACATTTTTTTAATAATTCAAAATTAGATGATATATTTATTATTTAATGTTGAAAAGAATTATAAGTATATAATACAAATTACAAGTAAAAATCTATAATACAAAAATAAAAATCTTTATTATTTAAGCTTATAAAATAATAAATTTATCTTGAATATTCATAATCATTAATTATTTGTATATATGAATAATATTAATAACTAACATAAACTCATAAATTGAATTTGAGAAAATAAAATATTTAATTAAAATATAATATAGAAATTAAATTAATGTTATTTCTTTTTAAAGTTTTTTTAAAATTTTTTCCTTTTTTGTAAAAGAAACAGATATATCAAAAGTTAGTTTATCTGATGAATTGAAAAGAAAAGAAATTGATTATTAGGATTTTAAATCAGGTCAGATTAACCTACTTATCTAACTTGAGTTAACCTGAAAATTTAAATCAGATTAGTAGATTTTTAGATAAATGTTAGGTTAGATCAATAGGTTAACCTAACCTAGTCTGATCTGACAAAATTCAGGTCAACTATCATTCTTAAATAATAGTTTTATCATTCTTAAATGATATTTTATTATTCTTAAATAATAATTTTTATTGTCTTTGAATAATAATTTTATCATTTTTAACAATATTTTATCATTCAATTAAAATGATTTATTATCATTTTTAATGATAGTTTTATTATTTTTGAATGAGTTTATTATTTAATTAGAATGATTTATTATCATTCTTAAATCTTCTTTCAATTCAGATAACTTGATTGATCTGATTAAACTAATCTATTTAGAACTCTATTGATTATATAAATTAAAATAAAAAAGAATGATAAAAATTTTGATATACTATTCTCAGCAACTTAAAATTTAATAACAATCTTATTAATTCTAATCTCATATTATATAATGAATCATAAATACCTTTAGATTCTCATATAAATAATTTCAAGTGTCTTAAAATATTACATATTGAATAATTTAAATATACAATTATAATAATTTAAAAAAAGAAGCTTAGATGATAATAATATAATCAAAATCATATTATTTAATAAATTCTAAATAACATATACAAGTAAAAAATATTAATTTTTAAGGTTATAGTTAGTAGAGTTCTGGACGAGTCAAGTTAACTCACAAGTCAGATAAGCTGAGTCAAGTTCAAATCAAGTTGAATTTGTGTTTTTTTAACTTGATGATTTGCGAGTCAAGATAAATTCGAGTCGAATTAAATATTTAACTCGACTCAATTTAAATTCGAGTTGACTCGAGTTGACTTGAACGATAAAAAAATTGTTCAAGAAGAATGATAAGGAATCGTTCGCCTTGAACGATAAAAAAATCATTCAAGT